GTTCACTGCCTGTCCACAGCTTGTCTCATACATGCATCTCTTTATGTCTCATTATCACATTTCATTCCCATGCTCTTTATAGTGCAAAACTAGGTGTGTATTTGGTTATGAAAATGCTTGAGGCGGTTGAGGGCATTTTTGCATGGGAGATGCTGTATTACCATGTCAATCATTGCTCCTTCTCTTTCTTAGTCTTTGCAGATTAATCCTGGATGAGTCTCAGCTGGGATGCTTCTGGCACAGGGGAAGCTGAGATTTAGATAGCAGGTTCTCAGCCCAGGTCCACTGGCACATGATTTACATGCTGTTATCAAATTTGCTTTCCTGCCACCATGCTGAACATCGGGTTTAGAGCTAAGCATAATGGGTTGCTGGGGGAAGACGGTCTTTTCCAGTTGAACTCTTTCACTCTGGGCCTACACATAATCTTTTTTTTTTTTTTTATTTTTCCTGAAGAGGGTTGCTGGCTATTAACCAGCCTAGCTGCCATAAAAGAAGTAGGGGAGGGAGATCACAGGCTTCTTCTCCAGCATTACTGTATCCACTGATTCTGGCTGGGCATGTCATTTCTACCTGTCATCCAGGTTGCTGCTGCAGCTTGTCCCCTGTGAATGTGAGTACTGATCAACTTTCTGCTGCCATAGTCTGCTGCTGAGATGATTCCCACTTTCTCTTTTGGCACGAGTTGTGTGTTTGGACCTGTGTTCAGCAGGGGATACTATTAAACATTGGGACCTAAAGGCTGCCGGGGTCTCTTGGAGGCAGCAGGACATGCAGAGATTATAATGGGAAAGACCTAGGCACCATAGGAATGGCTGGAAGCAGAACTGGAAAAGCAGCATGGCAGCATGCTCAGAAACAGTAAAACAAAACCCCTTTCATCTGTAACAGCAACGGCTCTTGAGCAACGGTGATTGCTGTGACCTGAAGTGTAGGCATCATGGTGTTGAGCTGCGTAACCTACGCTCCCCAAAAGGCAGTGATTCCTGAAAATGAGAGCTTAAGTCACCTACCTGCTCAGATAGCACAGCCTTGACTGCTGCATCCTGGGGCAAATGCAAATCCAGCACATTCATCAGCTGTTGGTAGAGGCTCTGTTACGGAGAATGGTTGTGGAGAGGTGGAACAGGAGAATGCTTGCAATATTAGAAGAAGAGTGACAGCAGCAGGCAGGTCTGTGGGAGAGAAGGGGTGTTGCATTTGCTGGGATATGGATATAAAACGTGCTGCTGTCAAATCAAACGGTTCCCCTTGTTTATTTCCTCTTTTTTTTTTTTTTTTTTTTTTTTTTTTTTTTTGTACAAATAACCAGTGACTTAAAGACAGGAAAACATAATAGTATGCCCTCCTTTATATTCCAGAGCGTCCTCCTTCTCCCTGCTGTTTGGCATCTCGCCCATTTCCAGCAGGCACTTTCAGATGCAGATTTCTCCCTGAATAGGTATGGCTGGGCTCTTTGTCCTCATCTCGCCTACCTTCATTAGCGGATCTGCTGTTGTGGGTCTTGCTCAGCTATCAGAGGGACCGGGGCTGGGTAAGAAGCAGAGCAGAAAAGGCCCCCTAAATACTGATTCATTACCATACAAATGGAGGGACACCCCAGCTATGCAGAGGGCGGTATCTTTATAAAACATGCGTAAATAGCATACAAAACCATGATTACACAGCGCTTATGCACCAGTTAAAATTCATCCTGGGTAGGCTGGATAACGCATATCCCTATATGCTAAAACGGATTCTCTTTGGATCCACAAATGGTTTATAGTTGTCTCCTGAGACAGGGGCATTGCCTGCGGCATGGTGGGCATATCAGCAGGGTAACGTATCAGCAAGCCAGAGAGCCGTGACAAGAAGACAAATGAGGATAGGCAACTGGAGTTGATCCCCCATTTGTCTGTTATCCTGGCTTTGGCTAAATATTGAGAGATGTCCGTTAAATGGCAACATCTGTGTCCGTGTGGCTCAAAGGCCAGCCATCCCTGAGGAGTCACTCGGGGTGCTAGCTGGGTTGCTACGCCCAAATGTGTCCACAAATACAGACCAGTTCATCCACGTGTTTCCTTTACACTGCACTAGGCTGGGTCATAACCCAAAATCCTTCTGCTGTCAACAGTCACACTGGCAACTTGAGGAGGGACATTTTGCAGGAAAACCATTTAAAATGGGGAGTTTCTAGTTATGGCCTGCAGTTCATTTGAAACAAATGACAGAGTATCTTGGGTTAGTATAATGCTGAGATCTTTGGGATATAACCACAGCAGTTTTGACACCAAACAGAAATGATAACCAAATTGCTTGTACAGTTCTTCCACCTTTCTTTGCCTGTCCTCCTCTCCTCCTCCTCCATTTGAGTGGGTGATGGCACTCGAATGCAGCTGTGGCTGCACATGCTCCGGTTAGGTCGGCTGCACACTTGAATCAAAACCTACTGTGGAGATGGATCCTGAGGGGATAAACCTGAACAATTTGGCCTAGGAAAACCTGGTTTGTCAATTCCAAATTCTTTCTTCCCACTATCAAAACGTTTTCTGGGAAGCATTATATAAAATTTACCTACACAAACAGCCACACAACATGCTGGATTTGTAACCATATAATTACAGCTTCCAGAATGATATATTGTAGCCCTCTAAAGACCTGAACAGTAAGGTTATATGCACTGTGATGACAAGTACTCTGGAAGGACTTCAAAAGCACAGTCTGCTGTGGAGAAGAAGAGGAACTAATCACCTTTTCTATAACCTCTTTGATTTGTGGGGAGGAAAAAAAACTTTTAAAAAACACCATGTTTTTTGAAAACCAGCATAAGGCAATACTTGTCTATAGAAATCTGCTTTATATCCTTCTAGGTTCTCACTTTTCAGGCATATGCATTTGCTGGTATGTGAAAGACATGCAAGCCTCTCAGTAACAACTATGCTTTCAGATCTTTATTAGCCAGTAGAACTGGGAGACTGGCACATTCCAGATCTGTAAGAGGAGGACAGGGAAAGGATCTTCTGGGCTCTGTGAGACCCAAAATTTTGAATATAATTCAGGATTTCTTGCAAATATTGACCAATTGACCTGCACATTGGCCATGTGCCAGGTTGTAGCCTCATGAAGAGATTCCAGATTAACCCTACACCCCTCAAAGAGGCATCTTAGTGAGATTTTTCTGCAAAGACTATTAACAAGGTTCCAGTTATGTTTGACTCTGGTAAATATAAGGGCAGGATTTTTAGCATGTGTGTTACAGAAAGAGGTGAAGAGGTATGTCAAGCTAGTTTAACCACAATTTCAGCACCAGTCTGGCTAAATCTGTTTCTAAATCAATCTAGTTCTGTTACCTCTGTGACCAAACCACTCACAGAAAGGCCTTAAAAACTGAAGTGATAAACCCCCAAGGACCAGCAGTTTATAATGAAAACAACAGGGATGATAATTAAACTTCTACCAGTGGTCTGAGTTGGCAGTCAGTTCAGTTAGCAAGCAGTAATAGAGACACAGACCAAATTCTTTACTCTGCGTGTGTGGGTCTGATCAGCCTTGACAATGTTTCACCCTACCTCTCTAAAATGGGGTGAAAGACTCTATTCAGGAAACAGGCAAAGCTGTTTCCATCTGGCATATTGCTCCTTTCTCATGAGCTTTCTTCTACTGTTTATTAAGGAGCTGTTTTATACAAACCTCTCCACCCCATTTGCCTCTGGACTCCCATCTCATTCTTGTCTCATTACTTCAGTTTTAACGCCCACAAGAAATTTTAATAAGAATTAATTTCCTATCTGAGAAAGCCCTAATACATACCACACAGTGATATTAATGTAAAATATTAGGTTCTGCACAATCTGATTTCTGGGCCTTTGTGATTAATTGTGACAGCAGCATTAACAGTAAACATGTTTGGTTTACATCAGCTGCTGATTGGAAAAAATATTTATTTATTTTCTTCCAGTATAGGTCATATCTATAAATTGCCAGGTGAACTGAGAAGTGGCTTCTCAGGCCACTACAATCTCTACATGATGAAGTATTTCTATGACTCGTTTTTTCAGATATATCCTGCAGTATATGAACTTACAAGGTATTATTTTTTCAGAAATATTTATTGCACGTTCTGTGGTTCATGGCTCTGCTTAGCAGGCGAGCATTAGTGGCAACTTTTTTGTGACTGGCATTTCCATAACTTGGATACCATGGCTTTCCTGAAAGTTCTATATTTCCAAAGCTTTTCTTATCATAGGGATCTAGTACAAAAAGTATTCACCTTCTGTGCTTATTAACATACTTTTACTTACTGTGTGAGCTTCTTGCAATTTGTAATGTGTTTTATCCTGACAAAATGATAAAGAGGTAGGGAGTAGAAAGAGAGGAACTGAATGAACTAGAGTCAAAGTGACTTATAAGTTGTCCAAATAATCAAGCCAGATAGATGAAAATCAAGGACAAGTTTTCTTCTGACCAATGCTGCTGCTCTCCAAGCATTGTACCCTCTTTCCTGTTTCTTCCACTGGGAAAATATACCCTCTTTCCATTTTTTTCCACTCTGAAGGTATTCTTCATGTAAATAATTTTTGATTTCATTTTATTTTTAATAATTTTTAGCATCCTTATTCAGCTTGGCTTTTTCTCTTCTCTTTGCAAAATGCCCTTCATAAAAATGGAAGTGCATTAAGATTTCTCCTTCAGTCTACGCTGCAAATAGGGACCTGAATCAAAGGCCTGGATTGAGCACTATTAGTTGAGGCACATCAGATCAGGTGGGTTGCAGCTGATGAAAATGGCACTGTAATATTGTCAGACAGAACAAACTATCAGATCATCAAATGTGATTTTAAATGAAGTCTGAAATCTGAAAGGATTCTGGAAAGAACCATTTTCAGATAAAGGCGAGAATTATTCAAAATATAGTGAGGGAGTTAAAAAAAGATTTAAAAAGGCTCGTCAGCTTCTTCAGTTCAAGGGCTTTTATTATTATGCATTTGTGAATTTTCTAAAGCATTCTTTGCCTCCACCATCATTGTCTAAAACAGCGCACTACATAACCATCAGTGTGCATTTACATTTTTCTTTGTTGCTGAGGACAGCCAGCTTGAATTAGAAGCTGTTCATAGCCAAATTTTGAAGTATCAGGATATTAACTTGGATGTGGCAACGGAATAAAGCAGGGCTCTTTCACCCCTTCTAGCCTCACACGGGAGGGTGTTGAAGGGTCACACAGCTGCTTCGGAACTGCCACTGTTCCTGACTGACATATTTTTTGCTTTACTTGAACACGTCAAGCTGTCTGGGTCCTTCTGTCAGCTCCAGGCAAGGATGCCAGCCTCTAAGATAAGGGCAGCACAATCAGGCAAGGTTGGTAGTTGTGTCAGCCACCCCAGCTTGATCTGCTGCAGCATGGGTTTGTACACTGCCAAAACCCTGTCATTCCTGTCTTGTGGGCAGCAACTGTTTGTAAAACCAGTCTACTGCTTTACCAAAGCTACTCCTTTACCCCAGACTGGGAATTTGTTGAAATCCTGAGTCACTGAGTCACTAAAAGGGCCAATAGGGGCCCTTTGATTTGGGTCATGGTCCCCCAACCCTTGTTGAAAAGTAGCCCTGACTCATGCTGGTTTTGTATGAACAGGAGTTTTCCCTTCACTAAACAACACTCCTAAGCACACGGCAAAAAATCAGGTGCGAGATTTAATCTTAAGTATGCAATGCTAAATTATTACCATTCAACCTAACTCACTGGTCTCCAAAATATATTCAAAATTTTATTACAGTAAATAGCGTTCTGCATAAAGCAAGTCAGTGCTGTTAGCTGGCGATCTATCTGTTATTGCCTAGTACCATAATGAAAAAAAACACTGATTTCCATACAGTCTTGTTCCTAAAGGCTTAGGAACTAATGTCAGCTGAATATATTTGTACTGGATATTCAATCACTGCATCAAATATGCTCTGTAAACTAGTCACCTTTAAAATGTTAGTGGCATCTTCTTGAATAATTCACTACCACCAGATTGCATGTCCTTTGGGTCTTCTTGGAAGCTGAACAGGAAAGGATGGACAGGAACATGATATGATGACAGCAGTGTTGAAGTGATTTAATTCAATTCTATTAATATACATTTAGAACTTCCCCCCCCATGTTTTTAAATGTCTTCAGGGAATTTCCCTAAATTCCTGCATTCTTTTCATGGCATTTCTTTCAGTGTTTCATTTTCTTTCCCTTTTCATTTCCTCTTTCCTTTGTCCCCTTCATCTCCTTTTCCATTTTCTTTTCCTTTTCCTGTTCCTTTTCCTTATTTTTCTATTCTACTCTAGTCTATTCTACATTCTTGGCTTCACTATTCTATTGCTTTTTATTTCAAGGAAATTCTATACATGTGACACAGTTTTGCATGCTTTGCATGCTCCTAATCATTGTTATGGGTCAAATTTTGCACCCTATAAATTTGGATAGATAAATTTGGTGCAATTCCACTGATATTAATGGAATTTAAACTGGCATCAGACTCTAACCTGACATTTTAATGATTGATTTGCATGGTCTCAGCTGCGAGACAATTTGTCTTAAGCCCCCATTAAATCAGAAAACGAGTGTTTCTGACTGAATATGCCAATCATTCTAGCTTATCTAGTGAGAGATGCCACATGCTTTCTCCTACTTTAGCCTTACTTTTTGACAGCTACTTATGCTACTTATTGTCTAATTGGGTCTGCCAATCCTTCCTGGACATCCCAATCTGTCCAGCCCAGACACAAAAGTCTGAAACATTTCTAAAATCTGCATACTGTTGTTGATTACAAGAGATTAGGTGGGGCGGAATGCAGCCTAGATGTGACAACATGCTTACTTGTATGTAATTATTTCTCAGAAAAATTAAAAATTGCAAAAATTGAAGGAAGAAATTATATCTGAATACTTGGGCTTTCTGACTATAAGGGGAGGAAGAGTTTTTTTCTATTGACAGGAAAAAACTATGTTTTCTTCTGAGACTTTCACACTCACAAGGCAATAAGGGCTAAATCCTGCCATTTGTTGCTTGCTGTGCTGTGAAAGGTGAGGAGGTAAGAGCTATTCCCCAGGTAGTACAAAATGGTGGGAGATACAGCTTGCCCATGTGCCTCAATGCACAGTGCAGGGTTTCTGGAGGAAGAGGATCCCCTCACACATAGCAATGACTGGTAGGGTAAGACTTGCTTTGCCTCCATGCAGAGAGACAAGAAATCCCCTGTGCTGGGTCCTGCTGTGAAATTGTACTCACCAACACCAGGATTCTCTCCATGGAGGATACATCTGGCAACCTCTGCTTAACCTTATGGTTGTGGCTTGCCAAATAGCACGCCAGCATTTGGACTACAGTTTTTCAGTAGGGCTGGCAGAGCTCTGACATCCTCTGGGACCTGATCCAAAGCTCCTGGGATTTAATGGGGAAAAAAAAAGTCCACTGATCTTGGTGGCTTCGGATCTGTCCTTTTGCTCATCTCCTTTGATGATTTATACAACACTAACATGCATATTTCAATTCTGAAGCACACAGAGCACATGGTTTTAATCTAACCATTTCCCTGGTGACAGGGGAGGAACTGTGCTGGCAGCTAAGATACTGAAAAACACTCATTATTCTGTACATTATGATTACTTCTTACTTTCCCATGGAAGATAGAAATTACGATTAAAAAATCACAAATATTTTCTTTTACAATCTTTGCCTGCCCTTAAAGGCACAATAAAATATTAAAAAGTGCAAATTTTTGTGTGTGTGTAAAAATGATGAGAATGTTTTGTATTAAAATTGGAAGTAAGAGAATATCAAGGACTAAAAGCTACTGTTAAACAAATGACCCCCTTCCCTAGAAAAACCTTAGAGTGTGGAATCTTCCGAATGTACCAGGAAATTCTCTTCTCGGGTTGGAAGGTGAGAACATTTCATCCTTGTGAAGTCTTTGTTTGTAAAATCAAGATTACCAGGCCATTGGCAGCAGTGGTCTATTAGTTATGTAGCTCCAGACCAAGTCCTACAATAGCAGTGACTAAAAAACAAACTTAAAATCAGCTCTAGATTGCTCATGTACCCAAGAGCAGTTTTCAGGGGCAGCCAGGGCTTGCTATGCTGTCTGGCTGTCAGACCTGATACCCTGTGCATTTCTCTAAGGGATGTCCCCATAGCACCCAAGTTCATGGAGCCAAGCACCTCCTGCCCACTGGACAGAACCACAGACTGTCATTTTCATAAAGCAGGAGGGATGATTTGCTATATTTTTAGATTTTTCATTCCAATCCAACATATTTTTCTTCTTTGTTTCCTCATTGGCTAGTGCAATTTTTTCAGCACTAGATGTCAGTGTGGACTTGCAATACCAAATTGCTCTGTATTGTCAAAGACAGGAAGAATTGCCACCCAGAATGAATCCAAGTTTCTCCAGCCTCAGGATGTTCTTCCTACAAAACAAGTCTTTTGTTTACTATTTGAACTCCACGTGGAAAGTGTACAACTCCATTCTGTCCTTGACTGGGATCAATATGGCTGTAAAAGGGCCCTATCTATTTTGTGACCATATCATGACTGAGTTAAAGAGGAGCTACCATAAGTCCAGAGCAAAAGCTTTGTTTAGAAAATAACAAAGAATATAAGCGGTTCTGAGTTATCTTGATAAGTTGTGACCCTGCTAAGGTAGCATTGCACAGGTGCTCCATGGGGATGATTAGCCCTCTAACTAACAGTTTGCATCTCAACAAGAACCTACTGACAAGACTGAGTCTTTGCATTCCTACTGCCTAGAAAGACATTGCATAATCTAGAAATGTTTTGCTACACCAGCCTGTTGCAAGGACTGTTCTAACTGGAACTTGATTTACTATTTGCTTGGCATTTTCTGAATACTGAACTGAAACCAGCCTGAGGCAGAGTAACCAGCCAGGAAGTGTACATTGGCTTTCTGAAGTGGTGAAATGACTGGTTCTACCATTCTTTGGAAAACATTTTCTTTCTTTAAGAATTTTAATTCCTTTAGTCTAAATTGTGAGTGGTCCCTGTGCTGTTATGGGAGGACTGAGGAAGATGCATGAAGCATCCCCACTCCCCTCATTTTGCAAGCAGCAACTAGAACAAGACACTGCCTCTCTTGCTCCTGGAGAAGTACAAACTGGGGAAGGGCAAAGTAGGGAGAGGAGGAAGTGGGTTCACAATTCTGATTTCTCATCTCTTATGGGTTCTGGCTTCTGTCAAGTGGATCTGAGCCAACACGACAGATGGAGCCTTTTACACCACCCTCGTGCTTGGTTTACACCAGGCGTGATGCACAGAAGCCGCGGCAGAAAATGTTTCTGGCAGAGAACGCAAAGCGGAGCTCTCTGACATTCCTCCCAACTCGGTCTAGTTGCAGCTGTGATCTAGGCCTTCAAAAAAATTCAGTTATGTGCTTTTGTATTCTTCACTATGCATTAGTTATTAAAGTATTACCCTGATGCATACATTAGTATGCCTTGCTTTTATTATACTTTAAGGTTGTTACTGTCCCTTTGAATTCTGTTGCACAAAGTCAGTGCAATGTGTGACTGCCCAAGCAGCTGTGCTTCACATTCCTATGAGCAACTACCTAGGGTGTTTTTGTTTCTCATTATTAGGCTTATCAGTAGTAGACTGCAAGTAGGAGGCTATAGAATATTAATTAAAAATTAGTAATAATATAAAACATTAGCAAATACTGTGCAAAAATAAGGACAAAGGTAATTTTTCTTCTGGATTCTGAGAAGTTAAGGTAATATTTGGCAGATAATACAGAACCTGAGAGAATACAAATTGTACTTGGCAAATCTAATGTCACATGGCTCTACCACCTGTTTTGACTCCTACATATTTCACTGTTATTTTTCTGTAACACTGTTTTCCATTTACTCACCTCTTCCTCTAGATATCTGGCATTCAGGCAATTAGTACCAATAACGAAAGATGTATCCTGTAAAAGAGCTTGATTGAAATCAGTTTCTGAAAACTGATTTAACTATGTCACATCTTGAAGTGCCTTCCTTATTAACTATGACAAACTGCTCTAGATAAGGCTCTCTGTAAAGCCAGCTGCCTCTCTAGTTGCAGAGGGGTTTCACGGTCACACCCCGCATTGCAAAGCAAATTAGTGTAGTTCAGGAATATAGCTTGAAGGACTACCATTATTTCTCTCTGCCCAAGTAAAGGGAGTTTAGGTGACCAAGAGTCCTCCCTCAACTCCTGAATCCACACTCAGCTGGCATTGCTGGGCACCAATACACGAGATCTGAAAATAAGAGAGTAAACATACTTCCCATATGCTGGTTTGTCCTCCACCCCCTCTTCTTAGAAATCACAGAAACAGAAAAATGAGCTCGATGTGACCTTTATATGTCAGCTCATCTGCCCTGGACTCACATCCCACGCCTTACCCAGATAAACATGCATTGATGTCACTTCATTTATGAATTGGTGCAAATGCCTGTAGTGTAGAAATGGGCATAGTCTAAGCAGCTACTTGTCTTCTGTTGTTCCTTGAGTATATAAGAAAAATGAGCTGCACAGTAGATTCTAAAGAAAGATAGCATTGGGGGAGCTATAGCTGCATGAAAGGTCAGTAAACTACACAGTAGGATAACTGATTCAAAGCTGATAACAAAAAATCCCCACCAACGAGCAAAACTAATAGAGTTTATGGGAGAACTGGTAACAGTACTGGCCTGATCATGTACTAAAATGGCAAGTTCATATGAATAGCATTTGGTATTGCATTTGGTTACCTACACGGGTACTCCGTGGTTACAGTAATACAACTGTGAATGTAGAACAGCTTAGAAATTATTATGGTGAATGCCCTTTCCTATGAAAAATCTTAGACTGAAGTATATTTCTTAAAGTACTATTTTGTAGCATGTGGTAATGAAGTGCACAGCAGAAGTTGCCATTTCTTGAAGTATGTTATTTCCAAGTATTTTTTTCTGTACCAAATGGTCAATCAATAAGGCCAGTCAAAATGTCAGCTTATTTTTAAGATCAAGTTATCTTTCCTGTGAACACCACTTTCCTCTACGGGTACCTCTAGTGTAAAAATTCAAGCATACTGTCTGCAGTGTGATAGAAATTTCAAAAAAGCATAAACTTCAAACAAAAGGTAGATGGCTTTAACAGAATTTTTATTAAGTAAGGATAAACTTCCTTATCCTTGTAAGCATCACCACACATTTCCAGAATAATTTTACGACCTAAACCTTGAGCTTGAAAGCTGCTTATTTTTTTTATTCCATGAAGACTGATCACAACATGTTGCAGAACTGTTTTTCATACGTCGGTGTAAGCATATGCATAAATCTCCATAGGATTAAAGTCAATACATACAAAAAGTTATTCAATGCAAATAAAAATCTAAGATACTGGATAACAGGGTCTCCTGCATTGAAATACCAGTCACTAGCCGAAGATTCACTGACACTAAAATATATCTAAAGAGATTCCTACAACAAGTTTATGTATACTTCATGGGTCACACTGAGAGGGATAATATGGGACCTATTTCCCTTAGGATACAGATGTGAATGTATAAAACCCTTGCCTGCTGGATGGCTTACTCTAGCTACAGATGGAAGGCATGTGTCTTTTACACATCTTATTTCAGAGGGACAAAGTGTTCTGTTTTGTTTTCTCTATGAGCAACAGAACACATCAGAAGTGTCTATTTTCAGGATCTGTGCAGAAGCGGTGCGCAGCACTTTTTATTTTAAACAGATGAAATACACAGTAATGTAAAAACTGCACTGATCTCTGCCAATCACATTGTGCACTTCTAGTTTGGTAACTGCTCAGAAAATCTAGTTGGCCAAACCCTTTTAGGAGCCCACACTAGCTATTATAAAATTAAGCTGCATGTTATGAGTCTGTGCTGCTACTTTTTAAATCTTTCTCCTTTAGAAAAGAGTGTCTGATCAGTTCTGAAGAGAATGAAACTCTGGCTGGCTTTATTAGTGCAGGGTCAGATGCTTCTGTCAGAAATGAAACCTTGCTTAAATCCTTGTTTCAGTGTCCCTTTAAAAGCCACCAAAGAAGGGGGCAGGGAGGGAGAGGGGGGCTGATCTGTCTGCATAGCTCACTGTTGAGTAAAATGCAGACCCCTGTTCCATTTATCAGCACACATTTTCCAAAATGTGCAATATTATGAATTGACGGCTAATTTTGTATGCCTAGGGCACACCTGCCACTTGGTATGTTCAAGGAAACTGGTCAAGAAACAAGTTCATTATTTTCAGTTGCTGATAGATGAGGTGGTGTAACCAGAACTGAAGTGGAGGTATGCAGCTTGTAACAAAGAACAGCAAGTATATTTGCCTGTCTAAACCAGTTTTTTCCCACTATCCTGGACAAGGAACAAGTAGTGCTTATTTAAGTATGAATAAG